AGAGAGAGAGAGAGAGAGAGAGAGAGAGAGACTTTAACCTTGCTTTCAGTCGCTCCTGATGTGTTTATATGTCAAAGAAATGGTGGTTGATGTTTGTTATGGTGTGGTTGAGCAGATGTTTCGCTTCTGTTTCCGAGTTTATGTATTTATAACCCGTTTTTTTGCTGAATGACCTTTCTTCATACTCTGTATCGCATTTAACTGCCACTCAGTCATTTTCATCCCACACTCACCTTCTCCCTTTCTCTCTCTGTCTCTCTCTCTGTCTCTCTGTCTGTATGTCTGTCTTTCTCTCTCTCTTTCTCTCTCTCTCTCTCTCTCTCTCTCTCTCTCTCTCTCTCTCTCACACACACACACACTCACTCACTCTCACTCCATCTCCCCTCCTTTTCTATATCCTTTTTCTCTTCTGTTAGTGTTATTAAGCGCAAGTCATTTCCAGGAATGTGAGTACTGGCCAGTGGATCGCTCTATCATCATGCGTAGCTCATTAATGCCCGCCGGCCTCTTTGGTCTCTCACGGGGAAGGTTGGGGTCATTTGGCCACACACCAAAAAGGACACTGTGCCATGGTGCTATGGCGTGCTTGTCTGTATGTCTACGTGTGCGCGCGTATGTTTGTTGTGTTGTGTTGTGTGTGTGTGTGTGTGTGCATGCGTGCGTGCGTGCGTGCGTGTGTGTGCGCGCGTCCTCTTTACTCAAACAAACAAAAACAAGCAAACGAACAAACAAACAAACAAGCAAACTTTGGCTGGCATTGTAATGATGACAAGCATGATGATAATAATGAGAGTAATAATAATTGTAATGATGACAAAAATACCACCACCAACAACAGCAACAACAACTTCTACTACAACAACAACAAGCAGCAGCTGCACCTCCGCCTTTTCTTTGAACTTAATATAATGGCATGGTGACATTAACTGTTTGTCTGGGGCAAAGAGTGACACCCTTTAAAATTGTTAGCAAAGCAAAAGCCCCCCCCCCCCCCATATCAAACAACTCAGTATGAAATAATGTACACTTTCTACTTGATGAGATGACCACTCTCACGCTATGTGCCCCATCTGACAGAGCTTTACATTCGCATACATTTTTCCCTCCTATAAGTCCCATCGACCGTACTCTGCCTTTCCGACTCCTGATTATATCACCCTCTTTGTTTGTGTGGTTGTTCCTATGGCAACAGTTATTTTGTCGGTAAAGGAAAAAAGTTACCATGGATTTAGAGGGGTATTGATTTAGATGGTAAACGCTTCGGGGGAGGGTTTAACATCGTTCAGCAACCTAGTCATTAGATGTTTATGTCTTAGGGTTCCATGTTCTTTGTTTTGTGAAGGTGGTTGACGGGGCGTTCTTGTGGTTTTTCTGTCCTGGTCTTTTCCAGTGTGTCTTCTGTCTTTTGTCCTCTTTTGCGTCCTGGAAAGTTTATGAGTAAAATACAGTTTATGTATAGTTTCAAAAAACAACAACTCATTATCAGTGCTCAACTCAGCGAGCAGTTCTTTCTCCATGTTGGAGGATCAAGTCATTTTTTTTTCTTCCTCAAACAGATTTCTGTCATGGGTTTTTTTTCCAACCACATGTTGTCTGTGGTCTTTTGTTTATAACTCTTTGTTAGTGGGTAGGTGGAGGGTGCTGACAGTATGGATTGCTTCTTCTATACTACCGTATTATTTCTTTGTTTCGACAGGTGTAACGATTTGGCGCTTTGTTGTCACACGCAGGAGAGCCAGGTTTCAAAATTTTTATCGAGTATCTCGGGTCTTTCTCATGGGATGTTATATCTTTCTCAGCCCGAGTTACCAGCCTCCTAAATTATCTAAATTGTGTCGATGGGCGCGTAAAAAAACAACAAAAAACAACAACCGTATAATAGAATTTGCTTCTTTTACATATGATTGTTGCATCTTTTAAACATGGTTTATTTGTGTGTGTGTGTGGTTTTTTTGGGGGAGGGGGTGGTGTTGTTGCTTCTCTAAGTTTATTGAAATATAACAAAGAGAAATGGCGGGGCGGCCGGCGGCTAGTGCGTGTTATCGTGGGCGCTGACGTTGTTATGGCAATAACCGGATGTTGAGTGTTTGCAGAGATATTGCTGCCCCAATGGAATACACGTGCCTGCTCTCTGGGGGGAGGGGGGGGGATTCTGCTGCACATATTGTACCCGCTGCCCCCATCCGCGCTGCACGCTCGGACATAAAACTGCATGCTGTCTCCATCCAGGTAGTGGCTGGGACTTCTCCCTTCCTGCCTTCCCTCATTCCCTTTGGCCTGGGTGTGAGCCTGCACAACAAGGGACTCAGAGTCTACTGCTGCACAAGCGCTCTCATTCCGACATGTGCCCGAGTATACACACGCACGCACTCACGCACAAGCTCTCCTTTCTTTTTTTTTCTTTCTTTTTGTCTGTCTGTCGCTGAACACACATTTACACACAAGCTCGCACATACACACACACACACACACACACACACACACACACACACACACACTCACTCTCAAACACACGCA